TTCCTTCCCGTACCTGCTGTCTTTCCAGGTCCTGTTTCAGTTTCCTGAGCCTCTTGTTTCCGATACCCTCTACCTCTAGAGACCTGGGGGACGGGGCTAGGTTATTTAGGCAACCCTTTCTCTACAGGACTGACCCTCCGCCCAGATCTTGTGATCTCACTCCCTGCCCAAGGCTTTAGAGTCTGTGTCCAAGCAAAGCCTCGCTGCAAGCGTGGGGAGCAAGGGCTCCTAAACACTCCCCCAGGCCCAAGAGCCTTGGAGCACCTGCAGTGTAGGGAACACAGGGTCACCTGCCTCTCCGAGTCAGCCTTTCTTTCTTTCTATCTTCCTTCCTTCCTTCCTTCCTTCCTTCCTTCCTTCCTTCCTTTCTTTCTTGAGACCGGACCCCAAGATGCCTAGGACAGGATAGAGTGAAGCTGGAAAGATGCTTCTTATCTGCAGAGATTTCCAGAAGCCCAACTTGGTTGCAGTGTTCCTTCCCGGTGCCAGTGCCCACCGCAAAAAGTCCTGGTGTCTTGGGGCGCGGAAGGCGAATAGGTGCAGACTTGGCGGGGTCTTGTTCCCCTTCTATTCTACACATCTTTCCCCAACTCGGGTCCGCGTGTCCGGCTCGCCGCCCGGGCTGAGGGGGCGCTGTCGGCGCGGGCGGGCGGGCGGGGCTGTCGGCGCGGGCGCGCGGCGCGGAGCAAGCGCAGGGCTGGGGGGCGCCGGCCGCCGAGGACTGGGGGCCTGGTGGGCGGCGGGAGCCGTGCGGGGCTCGGCGACGGCGGGCGCGCGGCCAGGGAGCGCGCGGGCGGGGTGGTTACGGCGGCGGCGGGAGACGCTCGGGGCCGCTGCCCAAGGTCCACTCCTCCATGGCGCTGCCGGGGTCCCCCGAGCCGCCCCGCGGCGCGCCCCGAAAGGTTCCAAGCCTGCTGGAGATGGGGTCGCTCTGCTTGGACTCGGACATCATCCTGGGTTTCACTAGTCACCTCCTGCGGCGGCGAGGCAAGGTGAGAGCTCGCGGGGCCGGGATGGCAGTGGTGACGCCGTCCCGCGACTTTGCTCTGCAGCACCGCGGAAACGCGGCAGGTCCCGGGCGGAGTCCTGTATCTCGCACGGAGGCTCGCACTTTCCCGGGCTGGTGCTGCTTGATTCCCCCTCTCTTGTCGAGGCTGCGCTGGAACCCGAGCCTTGAGCAGCGATCTTCCATGGAAGAGAGCGTAGCGCAGAGATCCCGGTTCTCACCTTGCAGGGATGGGCAAGGAAAAAGGATAGGGGGAGGTGATCTGAGTTTCTGAGATCCGTCCAGTTGCTTGGTGCACCCTGGGGTCTTGCGGGGCTGTGTTTCGTGTCCTCTGGGAACTCGAACGTGGAGTATGCTTCCCGAAGAGCCGCGCTGGTGCGGGGAAGTGAAGTTGCGGGTGTGGTCCATCATGAGCTCAGGGCCTGGGTTCCGGGTGATGCTTCTGGGTGTGCGTGTGAGGAGTGTGTGTGTGTGTGTGTGTGTGTGTATAGGTCGATAACAATCTGTGAGCTTCCTGGGTCCGGGGTGTTTGTTTCAGTGCCGTAGAGGGGCGGAGTGACGCTGTTTGTAGTGCTTGCAGGGGTGGACTGGGGAGGGTGGTGCCTGAGGCTACCCAGATCCCACGGTGGGCCAACGCCTGCCTGTCTTCCTTCGAAAGGCTGAGAAGGATTTGGAGGCTTGGGGGTTGCAGAAAGTGGGGAGCCCGTTCCCAGTTTACTCATGACTTCCTGTCGTGTTTATAGACTCTTTTAAGTCATAGATGACCTGGAAAACCGGATCTTCATCCCACTCTTGGTCAATAGTGGAGGAGTGGAGGGCTAAGTAAGCAGGGTCGAGGTGGGGGAAGGGGAGTTGAATGGAAAGGAGAGGTCGTTTGACAGACCCTATAACGTGCGAAGGTCTGACTGCTCTGGGGATGTGCGGCCAGGGTCTTTCCTTGAATCACCCTGGCTCAGCCTCAAACGGAAAGCTCTGCGCTCAGAACGCGTTCAGGTCTCTGAGCCCTCGAACCCTATTCCCACGACGGCCGGCAGGTGTCGCTTGTGTCACGGGGAGCCCGGCCGCAGCGCCCGCCTAGCTCCAGTCTGGGGTTTCGGGCTGATCCAGAGCTTGGGCCGTAGTCCCCTGCGACCTCAGATGGTGGTGACATTTGGGGTCTGACTTGGGCGAGAGCAACTGGTCGCTGGGGAAGGGGGGAGACCTCCCGGTTTGAGACAAACAGGCAATTAATTCCGGAGCTAACTCCCCATCTGCCAGGCCGGCAGACAACAGGTCCAGCACACCCCCAGGGCCAGCCGCATCGCTTCCTCCCACTTCCCAGGCGGCTCAGCGTGCAATCCACTTTCAGGCACAGGATCCGCTGCAAGAACACTTTGAGACAGCTCGTAGCCGCTCACTGCACCTCTTGAAACGCAGACCCTCACCCATGAGAGACAGTTGGAGCCAAAGCGTGGCCAGAGACACTTGAAGTGCTCTGGGTGTTCTGGGGAAGCCGTCGGCCGGGGTCCAGACCCTTTCATTACCCCCATCTCCCACACCCGCTTCCTTGCTGTGCGACCTTAGGCAAAAGCTTCAGTTTTCCCGCTCGCAAAGTGATGAGAATGTTGGGTGCCTCCCAGGAGGCGCACTCCATCCTCGCTCAGGAGCGACAGAGGCGCATGCGTGCGCGTAACTAGTGTCTCGGCAGCCCCCACCGCCCCTCCCGCATCTGCACTCAACTAACAGGTTGGGGTCCTAGCAGTAGGCGGGGCCGCAAGGAGGAGCAGGACCCCCGCCCACTTGGCTCTGCTCGGGGTGGGGGCGGTGCTCTGGCGTCCCGCCCCCTTCCCTCCCCCTACAAGCCCTGGCCCCCCCCCACCCCCGCCTAGCTTGTCCCGGAGCAAGCCGGCTGCGTCCTCTGCGTGCTCTCCGCCACTCGCCTGCTCTGCCAACTTCAGAGCAGCAGGCCTGGCCATGGGGGTGCCCCTGGGCCGGATCACGTAGCCACTGCGCCCCGAGAGCCAACGTATCCCTTCCTGCGTCCGTGCCATGGTCGGCCGCGGCGCCTCCTTGTGTGCGGTGCAGCCCGCGGTACGCAAGGCCCTGCTAAGGAGCGGGCGGCCGGGATCGGCGGGCGCCGGGTTCAGAGCCCAGGACAACGAGGATGCTAGCGGGGTGTACGGCGCCCTCTAGGGGTGGGGCTTGGAGCGGAGCGGGACGGGACGGGGCCCCGAGCGTCGGGTTGGGGCTTCTTCGCCAGGGACCCCCTGGCGTTGCATCCAGCGCCCTAACTTTTGTGCGAGCGTGGCTTTAGGGGCGTGAGCGACTGGGTCTGGAGTCGGCCGCGTGGAATCCCGCAGTGGCGCCGCGCGAAGGCTTGGGCTTACTGTCCCATCTCCAACCCCCGCAGGTGGCTGAGTGCGGCCCAGCTCGAGAAGCCCCGCCGCTTGAAGTATCCCCGCGCAAGAGGCTGCCCGCCGGGCTCGACCAAGATCCATGCAGCAGCCGCCCTGCTCCGGAAGGCGCCGGGGCCAGCGCAGAGCAGGGCCACTCGGCCGGTGGGGGCGGATGGTGCCGCCACTGCCACACGAAGCTCGTGGAGCTCAAACGACAGGCGTGGAAGTTGGTCAGCGGGCCCGGGACTCCCCTCCGGGTAAGTGACTCCTCTTCAGGCTGTAACCTCGACAGGAAGAGCTTGAACTTGGGAGCCTTTGGGGCTGGGGCTGAGGCTTGGAGCGTGGCGAGTTCAACATGTGCCCCCATACCGTAGTCTGCAAGAGTGTGTGTTGCTGCACCTCACCCTAGGAGGCCTGCCGCATGTCAGAGGGGGTTGGGTAAATTTCTTTTCCTAGCCGCAGATGTCCCACAGCTGGAGCCAGTCTGTGTTTGGGTGGGGTAGAAAAGGGGAAGACGGGGACTTCACCCAAGGGCAGGGTTTGTCATAGTGTAGGACTTTGGGCATCTGGGTATTGGCGTGCCTGTATAGAGAGGGCATAAAAGGTGAGAGAGTGAGCCTCTTTCTGCAGCTAGGGAGTGAGCGTTCTTGTCTCATACTTACCCAGTGCCTGTTACGGGCCTATGTCCTGCCCTAGTTCTCTGCCTCTTGGGCCTAGGCCTTCCACATAGGGAATGACTATAGAGCCTCTGGGTTTCCCAGCCTGCAGCATGGCTGGCAAGTACTGGTGGGAGAGGAGTCTACTGGGCTTTCCGGCCAGCCTTCCCAGGCACGTAAAGAACAGGAGCATTGTTCCCTGGAACAATGGTCCCTGGAAGTATGCAAGGCAGGGGTGTGGGGGTCTCCACAGGAAGCTGCTTCTGACCTTCAGCCTTGGTTAAGGAGTCCTTGGGAAGCGCCTGTAATCCCAGTCGTGTCCTTTAAGCAGTGGTGTGGGTTAGGATGAGACCCTGGGCTCCCTATGGGTCAGGTCAGATCTGGTGGATGCCAGTCAGGTGTGTCTGTTCTGAGCACCTCTCCAGGTCCCCTGGCTTGTCTGTGGTGGAGATGTTAACAAGGCTTTCAGATCATCTAGATCTGTGGGCCTGTATGAGGTGTGACTGACAGCGGGTGTTGTTTGGATTTTGCCAGTGGCAACCAGCCTTTCTTGAGCCCTAGATCTTAAAAAGCCTTGATGATCCCAGAGAGGGCCCTTAGGATGTGCTCCTGAGGCCCTTCAGGAAGCAAGCTGATACTGGGAGCCTAGCTGCCTCCCCACTCTGGGATTGTGCTTTGCCTTATGCTGCTGCCCAGGACCCAGGCTGCCTGGCCACTGGTTGATGGAGCCCTAGTAGAGGAAGCTGTGGTCACAGTAGTGGACTAGAGCTGGCGGACATCAATGGAGGTCTGTGGCTCCTCCCCTACACACTGCTGTCCCCCTCTGAGTTCTCACGTGTGGGTTTTGATATAAGCTGCTTCTCCACCCTGCCAGTTAAGGCTTACTTAACATAGCCTGGGCCTGGTGAGCAAACCAGGGTCCTGGCCAGGGCTTTGTGTGGCTTTGTGTAGCATCTTATCTACTGTGTGTTTTGTCTTGCCACACAAGGAGGCTTCAGTCTGTTCTGGGAGTACTGTCTGCCCTGTGGGGTGCTGTGCTCAGGATAAGAGGGCTTTGCTCTTCTTTTCTCTCCAGAAGGAAACTGAGTGCCCTGGGCCACACGTGTTATACCCAAAGCCCAGGATTTCAGTCCGTATCACTCTTGTGTTGTTGCCAGTGTGGACCACAGGGACCTGCAATGGACCTCAAAAGCTTTTGAGGTGAGGGGATCCCTCTGAAAGGTAGATGGGGACACCGTGATCATCACCGTGAGCGCTATTCTGATTTAGGGTGAGAGCTAAGATCCTCTGAGGAGGTCTACGTCTTAATTCTGGTTGTCGGAGCAGGAATTCTCCTGTGAGGACAGCACTTTACAGCTTGTAGGGAAGTCTTCCTGAATCTCACTGCTATCTCTGTGGGCCTGCTAGGCTGCTGCTTGGAGGTCGAAGCTGGGACCCTGACTGGGTGGTTAAGAGTCCTGGGCTTGGGGACCCTTGTCTCATCTCAGCATAAGAAGGATGTGTAGGGTCAAGTAGTCAGCCTGGTAGTATCCTGTGCCTATGAAAATCTTGTCAGCATTAACTTCTAGCCTACCTTTCTCCTAGCAGACACTTACTCTCCTGGCAGGGTCCCTCAGAGTTCTTGGCTGGTCTCCTCTGTTACACTAGTTGCCTCTCGTCTGCCTTGCACGCGCATAGGACAGAGCTCTGGTTCTGAGGTGGACTTGAGGGTCACCCTCATTCTGGGACTTTGTGTGATTGTCTGTGTATTGAATGCTATAGTTGGAGCCTACCTGGCCATCCCCCTGCTGTGGTCCCTTTCAGATATTCCTGTCCATGAGATCTGTTTGGGTCTTGAAGCTCGGTACCTTCCCCTCAAAAACGAAAGCCCAGGCCTTTCTTTATTCTGCTGTCTGAGTATCTGAGGCCCATCTTTTCTGTATCTACATACACTATACTGAAATGGCCACAAGGTTCCGGCAGACCCTTCCTTCATCTCCTAGTCCAGGGTGCTACTCTCAAGCAGTAGCTTTGCTGGAACAGGCAGATGAGTCACGTGTAAATGTTTGTTATACAGCTGAATGGCCAGAGTTTCTTCTCAGGCCTCATGCATGGTCACCCCAAAGGCTGCTGGGCTGGATTCTGTCTGTGTGTCTCCTAAGGGGATGGTCCCAGAGCATAACCCTTCTCCCCTACAAAGGATGTCTTGCTGCTGGCTGTTGCTTAGGGGCCGTCCCAGAGGATGCCCAGTTATTCAGAGGTGGTGACTCCTCCTGGGCCATGACATTCTTTAGTTGTCAATACTGGAGTGAATTGATGACTCCCCAATGGGAAAATGATTGACTCTCATTTATGTTTTGCAGAACTCCAGGTTATATGGCCAGAATTTCATCCTCCTGCCTCCTGGGACCCTTTTTTTTTTTTTTTTTGCTTGTTTGGTTGGTTGGTTGGTTGGTTGGTTTTTGGTTTGGTTTGGTTTTTTTTTCTGTGGCCTCTGTCTGCCTAAGTGGAGCTGTGCACAAGACTGCGAAGGGCTGGATCTTTTGGTGCTGGTCCCTCTATAGCTCCCATTCCCATGAAGCCTCCAGACCCACAGGAGCCAGCCCTTTAGGGCCAGGGCCTGGAGCCTTCCCTGTGGTCTGGCCTCAGTGGCTTGGTATGTGCTCATTTCGTTTTAATATCATTTGTGGGCATGTCTCGGCTCTTTCTCACTGGGCCGCCTTCTACTGGGAGCTAGCCTCTGGAAAGGCTGGGTGTGTATCCTGTGACTGTACAGGTCCCAGCTCTGGTTGCATTGTGTTTTGTGGGGAGGTCAGACCGTGCTTCCCCCACAACAGGTTATAGCCCTGGATGATCTAGGATCCAGGCTGGTTCCTCTGATTCGGAAGTTGCTCCCTGGGATAGCTATGCCGCCTGCTCGCCCCCCCCCCCCCCCCAGTCTCAAGGCTGCCACCTTCCCTGATGTTTGGAGCCAGGCCCAGTAGTGCCTGGGGCCTTGCAGGGTGGGGCCCAGGTGTCAGCCATGATTCCCAGCTGAGCCCAGGTGTCAGTTGGGGAGATGTGAGGGGTTGTGCTCCCTGGGGCTGGCTGGCTGGAGGTGAGGTGACTCAGCAGGGAGGTGTCCTTCCCAGGGGCTGGACTGGAGGTGCTCAGAGATTTATGCTACTCTGGGGTCCAGGTGGGACCAGGAGGAGCCTGTTAACCCCAGACTTACCCTCCAACTTCTGCAGTTCCCTGGCTTGGCTTTCCTGCTTCTCTCAGCATACAGCAATGAATAGGTCTCTTACGACCAGCCAGTGCTGTCCTTCTTACCTGTTTTGCTGTCCTGGGGTTTCCAGCATTGGGATGGGGGTGGAGTACTTGAGGAAGGACTTGGGCTTAATGGTGTCAGGTTTTATTTTTCCCTTTGAACTTCGGCTGAGGCAGTGTTGGAGTTGTTGTTTTGCATGCCTGGGGTACCTGGTACAAGCATCCTGTCTTGAGTGGTGTGTGTGTGTGTGTACATGCGTGTCTTCTGCCAGGATCATACATGAAGTTAGGCAGGAACTGAGTGGTCAGTGGCCTCACTGCCCTCTCATGACAGGCCCTCTCATACCTCTCATGAGGGCACGGAGGCTGTAGAAGTCCCCAGCACTTTGAGTGGCTCAGTCAAACTGAAGGGCCTTGCAGTCAATGGTTTGGAGAAGGTAGGGTTTTCAAAACCTCTCTCTGGTGTCTGGGAAGACCTTGTAGGTGGAAGTCGGGGGAACTGGTTCTTGTCTTTTATACATTGAACGTCTACTTCTTGTTTACTTTAACCTGCCGGGAAATTCACAGTAGGTCTCTTACCGCCAACTTCGTGGTACTGTTCTCTTCAGGAAAGAGATGGGTCCTGTGTGTTCATGTTAGACTGTGTTAGTCACATGGTTTTGTTTTTAGTTTACATTGTTTTGCTCCTGGAAGCTATCACACAGTCTTTGTGCTCAAGGCCCTGAGTGAGCGAGCATGCCTTGACCTAGCTTCTCTGTTTATTTGGTTCACATAGTGGGGACCTTGAGCAGTGCAGGGCAGGTGGGTGAGACTAGCTTGGCCCTGTGGGGTCTTGCTAGCAACTAGGTGGGTGGTCTAGCCTCTGTCACTGCCAAGTTCAGTCTCTCCTTTCCCACTGAAATCAGCAATGGGCAAGGAAAGTCTGCAGCAGGAATCAGAGGCCTCAGTTTCCCCATCTGTTCCTACAAGGCCCAAAGAGGAGTCACCTTTGCTTCTGGTTTGGAACCCTTGCCCTGTCTCCCAGTAGGGGATCTCCAGATGAATACAATGTATCCTCCCGGACAGCTTCTTTCAAATGTCAACTGTGGCCAGGAAGCCAAAGACTGTTTGTTGGGCAGCTGGCTCCCTGTGAGAGGCCCCCAGCCTTGTCTCGTTCCTTTGGTAGCATCCTGTTATAGGTGGCTGTAGGCAGGCAGGTTTTGCGGGTCTCTGTGCTAGTGGACTGTTAGTCATGTGTAGCCCAGGGCCCAGGCCTGGTGTTAGCTGTATCCAGACTCAGATGGATGCTTCTGCAGACTGTTTGCTTGACCTCTGACTCCGGCAGCCGGGTCAGCCTGAGCTGTCTCCTGTTTCCGGGTGGAGCGTGCCACGCT